TCATTTTCATTAAGTTTACCTTGAAGTACTAAATTATCTCAAATTAAAACTTAATTAAAAAATGTTTTTTTCACATATTAAAAAAAACTCAAAACAACAAAATTAAAACTACAATTAAAACGAAAACAGAAAATATAAAAATAAAACCCAATTCAAAATATTAACAAAACCTATAATAGTATTTTCAATGACACTAAGATAATACTGCGGTGAGTAACTGACGACAGTACTTCATTTTTGGGTGAACTGTCCCTTTAAGAGTTGCTGTAGTGAAACAGGAGAGAATAATGATTTTCAGACTTTGCTTGATGGGAAAATAATCTTTTGAAATACAAAAATGTGGTGCTGAATAAATAAGCTTCTGGAATGGAGCGGATGGAGAAATGGCTGGCAGGAAGCTCCAGGCTGTTTCTGTCCCTCTAGGCCTCTCGCTGTGATTGGCTGAGCCTCAAAACCACAGCCAATCAGACGCATGACCGGAATCATGAGCCCAAACTGTGGCGATGCTGAAAACCGGATCTGGATTCGTCCAGAACGAGAGGACGTGCATTAACCTGCGTTTCGTCTCAGTGGCGCAGAGGATAAAAGCAGGAGGTGGAATCAAATCAGATAAACAGAGTTGTGAAATGAAATTGATGCCGAATAACGCGCGCTCTCTGAAAGATGTCAAAGCAAGCATGAATAAAACAAGCATCAACCCAACTTAATAATGCATGTTGTAAGATGCAGGTGTCGATTCTTTATTGTTATGCACCGCAGCATGCTCGAGGTGTTTGTGGATGGATTACTGCGCTCAGCTCATGAGGAGGACCTCTGTGACGTCTGACTGCGACAATTAAAGCTTCACAGTTCGGTCCAGAAGCTTCTGATGGGTTTTACCCACAAATAAACGTCCCCAGAGACAGATGCTCAAATGTTGGATTCTGACACTTTAAATAAACACGACACTGTTGCTCTTTTAATAAATAGTTACATTTTTCCATAACATGATTCAAAAACTGAAGAAATTATTAATTTTCTGTTTTCATTTTAATTTTAGATAGAGCTTTAGATAAAGTATTTTTATTTATTTATTTAAATATTTCCATTTAATCATGTAATAATAAAATTAAAAATATTATTATTAATAATAATAATTGTGATGGAATGAAATATGACTGTTTCACTTTAAAGTATTATTTCAATTACGTTTTAAATTATTATTATAAATTATTTTGCATTATTTAAAACTGAATCAGTGTTAAGTTGGCTTTTATTTATTTGTGTTTTTTTTTTCATTTTCAGTTAAAGTTTTAGTAATTTGGTTGTTTTTTTGTTATTTTTATTACTTTTTTCTTTTTTATATATATTATGGAAGCCCATTTCCACCATGGAATAAAAATTTTAAAAAGATAACTGCCTTTTTTTCCACCCAATTCTAGGTTTATATCGTGCAATTCAGTTTTTTTTTTTTTTTTTTTTTCCACATAATTAAAAAAGAAAATGTAATTGCAGACTTTTTAATCTCATTTAAATGTTTTTATATCAGATTCATAATTATTATTATAATTTGGATTTTCTTCTCAGAATATTGTGTTTATATCACAATTCTGATAAAAAGTCATAATTACCGTTTTTATTTCTTCAAACTGTATTTTTCTTTATTTCAGTTATTTTAGTACATCAATTTAAACTTAATAAAAATGAGAAATATTTCCTTGACAACTAACATTTGTTTTTATTTTTTTAATTTTTTTGTAATATTTCAGTAATTTTGTTGTTTTTTTTCTAATTTTTATTAGTTTTTTTTTTTTTTTTTAAATATCTCTATTTTTTATTAATTTTATTTGAGTTTTCATTGTAGTTATTTTAGAACATCAAGTTAAACTAAATGAAAATGAGAAATATTGCTTTGGCAACTCGCTGAACTAAAATAAGTTTTTAGGGTTTTTAACATTTGATTTCAAATAAAGTTTATTTTATTTCAGTAATTATCTTCTCATGGTTTTAGTTTTATTTTTTTCTATAATAACTCTGATCAAACACTTTGTTTTTTACAGTGAAAAATACCCATCTCTGTGTATTACAAGCGACCCAGCAACTACGTTTTTTGAACATTTTAAATGCAATTTTATGCAAATCAAAAGACTTGCATTAGAAAAAGGACAACATCCTGTCTGATAATATGCGTGCGGCAACAGTTGCTAAGGAAGGACTGGTGAAACTACAGGAGCTTCAAGACAAACTACAGGACAATCGGGAGCTAACGAGTCATATTAGCAACTAACAAGCAACTAAAACATCTTACATATATCCAAAAAGGGCTGCTTACCTCATTTATCTTTTCCAAAGTTAATGTACGGAATAACAAGAAGCAAAAAGAAAGATAAGGGAATATTTTAGTGTTGGTCATCTCAAACCACTATTCAACATGGAGGAGAAAACACAGTAAAGACAAGCAACTTTCACATGGAGGAAGGGACGAGGGAGTGAGTGCTGAGCTCGACGTCTACCTGAACTCTAAAAACAATCTTTATCCATAATGAATCGAGCCCTCGGGGCGGCTCGCAAGCCAGCAGGTGTCTGGGCTGAAATATTTATTTCATTGAGATGTGAAGGATAAAGCTGTGAGGTTATGGTGAGAGGATGCACAAACACACAGAGCCGTGATGGTTGTTTTAACGCTGCCCACGTCTCTCAGTCGCACTAGACGTTAACAAACGGCCGATCGCGCGAGTCTGTCTGTCGTCGTGTGTGTGTGAAGATAATGCACATCGTATGCTGGTGAAACGGAGAGCTAAACCTTGTGCGGTCGACGGGATTCAACAGAACTGGAGCGGTTTGGTGATGACATGAGCTCATGGAGAAAACTACTGCAAAAAATGTCCTTCTTCACTATTTTTGTCTTGTTTTCCAGTAAAAATATCTAAACGTACTTAAATCAAGAACTATTTACTTGAGAAGCAAGATGACTTGATAAAAATGATCAAAATTAAGTGAGTTTTTGCTTAAAACAACACATATCTGTCGATGGGTCTGTCAGAAAAAAAGTTTTCTTTTTGAAATTTTTTTTTTTTTTCTACATTGACAGATAATTGTTCCTGTTTTAAGCATAAACTCACTTAATTTTCAGAAAACAAGACTTAGTATTTTAAGTCATTTTGCTACTCTAGTAAACATTTCTTGATTTAAAACAAGACACAATACTACTTAAAACACTGTTAAATCAAGATACATTTACTTGTGATGCAAAATGACAAGATACTAAGTCTTGTTTTCTGAAAATTAATTGAGTTCATGAAATTAAGCGAGATATTAGATAAATCTTGCTATTTGAAAAATGCATCAAAATTAAGTGAGGTTTTGCTTAAAACAACAAATATCTGTCGATGGGTCTGTCAGAAAAAAAGGTTTCTTTTTAAATTTTTTTTTTTTACTACATTGACAGATAATTGTTCCTGTTTTAAACATAAACTCACTTAATTTTATCTTAAGTAATTTTGCTTATCTTGGTTTAAGAATATTTAAATATTTGTACTTGAAACCAAGACAAAAATACTATTTAAAAATTCTTAAATCAAGATACATTTACTTGTGAAGTAAAAGGACTTAAGTTTTGTTTTCTGAAAAATATTTAAAAATTAAGTGCTTGAATAAGAAAAAAATGTGCAGAAAAATAATCCTGTTTTTCCTTTGAATTAAGTTTATTTGTTCTTGTTTTAAGCATAAACTCACTCAATTTTCAGAAAACAAGACTTATTATCTCAAGTGAAATTTTGCTTCAAGTAAATATTTCTTGATTTAAAACAACAAAATACTACTTAAACATTGTTAAATCAAGATACATTTACTTGTGATGCAAAATTACTTAAGATACTAAGTCTTGTTTTCTGAAAATTAAGTGAGTTTATGAAATGAAGTGAGATATTAGATATTAAGCCTTTTTTGAAAAATGCATCAAAATTAAATGAGTTTATGCTTAAAACAATAATAACAAAAAATCTGTTGATGGGTTAAGAAAATTAATAGTATTAATAGTCAAGTTTATTTTTCTGATCTCATTGTCAGATATTTTTTCTTGTTTTAAGCACAAATTCAATTAATTATCAATAAAAGAGACAAAAATGCTATCTAAACATTCTTAAATTAAGATACATTTATTTGATATGCAAAATGATTTAAAATATGAAAAAAGTATCAAAATTAAACAAGTTTACGATTAAAACAAGAATAAATATCTGTCAATGGGAGAAGAAAATGTAATAATTTTTCCAACCCCACTGGCAGATTTTTTTCAAGCATAAACTCACTTAAGTTTTGGGAAAATAAGACTTAATATCTTAAGTCATTTTGCTTCTCAAGTAAGTAGATCTTGATGTAGGAATATTTCGATATTTGTACCGGAAAACAAGATGATATCAAGTCTTGCTTTCTGAAAATTAACTGAGTTTATGCTTAAAACAAGAAAAATATCTGCTAATGGGGTCAAAAATAGTAATCATGTTTTTCCTCTGAAGTTTATTTTTCTGTTCCCACTGACAGAAATGTTTTCTTGTTTTAAGCATAAACTCATTTAATTTTCAGAAAGCGGGACTTAATATCGTAAGTCATTTTGCTTCGTAATTAAATGTTTTGATTGTGCTGGAAAACAAGACAAACATACAGAGTAAGAAACTTTTTGCAGTGAATACTAATAGAATAGTTCTGCTAAAAATGAATAATTTACTCACTCTCATGTCATTTCAAACCAGTACGACTTTCAAAGAGAGACATTGGACAAAATGTCAAAATTTCTACATCAAGAGAAATTGTTGTACAGAAAACTGAAGCTAAACATTTCCTTTTGTGATTCACAAAAGACAAAGTCAAGTTTGGAACGACACTGGGGTGAGTGTGTTTTTACCTGTGGTGATTTATTCAGTTACCATCCTTAAAAAGTAAGATGCAAACAGCATGCAGTGACATACAAACGTGTGACAAAACAAATGATGTCCAGAGTAAACTAAAGTAAAAGGACGCACCTCGTATTCCTCTTTGAAGCCGTAACCCTCGGCGCACTTCATCTGCGTGATGTGCTGGAGAAGATCGGCCACACGGATGGCCGGATGAAGCTGTCCCGTCTGATATGGGACATCCACCGCCTCGCGTTTCTTGTAGGAGTGAGTATGCGACTGAACCAAGCTGCTGGTCTCGCTTGTCATGGTGTGGTTCTCGTCTGACGGGACAAACGCAAGGGACAAACGGTCAGCAAACGCAGAAGAAAACTGCAAAGGATTGGATGAGCAGTAGGTTGACGACTGCATGAAGAGATGAGCACAGAACAACAGGTGAGTCGAATCCAAACATGTGCATAAACAGAACGCCGGTAACATCAAAACAAAACCAAGCCATCTGTTCTAGCTAAAGAAACTGGCTATCCGATGTCAAAATGAGGTCGCACGAATGGTGAAATGGTGATTAAATGTGGCACCTTCACGACAGGGTTGGGCACCAAAACCAAAAGAAAGCACATTTGAGGATGCAGGTGAGTGGAGGGTGTCACATATACTGTATGCATGAAGAGGGCAGCCACGGGTGACGGCCATGCTAGCTAATGGGAGGCAAAATGCGACACAAGGCCATGCGAGAGAGGCGACACGGTTTGAGGGGAGAGGGGGGGGCAGATCCCACTGACAGTCACCCCCAAAAAACACAGGGCCGATTGACAACTTACCATTAATGGGCACTTTTTAAGAGGATACATAGGTTAAATGTAAAGAAAGAAAACAGGAAGAGAGAGGAAAAAGGGTGTAAGCAACAAGATAGTTGAAGCAAGAGCAGCTACACATGAAGTCCAGAGACTATCTGAGGTTCTGACTGACTTGCGCTGAACCGTCTGAGGTGTCAAAATGAAGGAATGAGACGAGGCCGAATCTGAACCTGCTCAACGCTCGGGTTCCCCAAGTAAAAATCCCATTCAGGCCCTCCACCGTTAACGGATAAAACTTTCTAAACAGACCTATACAAGCTCGGAAGTTACGTGATTCAAGCCGGCATTTCAAAGTTTATCATGGATCAAGTGATGAAATTTGTTTCAGTTCTGCAAATCGAAATGACATTGATCTTGCAACATTGTTTCAATGTTGCACTTTTCCTACAGATCTTGTTAAAATGTACTTGTTAAAAAAACCTGTTTTAATCACAGTTCAATGTTTATTCAATGTCATGGATCAAGGCTGATTAAGTGATCTTGCTGAACTCTAACATTTTTGCATTAAATGCCGATGTTTTTCAAGATTGATATAACAACTGACTTTATTTCAACCACATTTCAATGTTTATTCAATGTCATGGATCAAGGCTGATTAAGTGTTGAATTTTGTTTCAATTTCGCAAATCAAATCAACAGTTTCCTTGCAACGCTGTTTGAAAGTTTAACTTCTATATATGTATATAGATCTTGTTAAAATTTTAATTCTGTATTTTAAGTACTTTGGTAATGCTTTTGCATTAAACATAATTGTTTTTCAATGTTGAAACAACAACATATATTATTTCAACGCTTGTTCATGGGTGAATTGAATCAGTGTTGAATTTTGTATCAATTTTGCAAATCGAATTGACACTGATCTTGCTGAACTCTAACATTTTTGCATTAAATGCCAAAGTTTTGCAAGATTGATATAACAACTGACTTTATTTCAACCACATTTCAATGTTTATTCAACGTCATTGAACAAGGTTGATTCAGTGTTGAATTTTGTTTCAATTTTGCCAATCAAATCAACAATGACCTCGCAACGTTGTTTCAACGTCTTACTTTTCTTACAGATCTTGCTAAAATTTCAAAGTTGAACTCTGTTTTTCAACATTGAAACAACACTGACATTATTTCAACTCTGACATTATTTATTCAATGTCATTGATCACGGTTGATTTCCTACAGATCTTTTTAAAATTTCAATGTTGAGTTGTAAGCATTTTGTTCGTATTTTCACAACCATTTATATCTAAACATTTTTTTTAACATTGAAACAACTTACATTATTTCAACGCTTATTCAAGGGTGATTCAACATCAGGAATCAAGGTTGAATCAGTGTTGAATTTTGTATCAATTTCGCAAATTGAATTAATGTTGATACTGCAACGTTGTTTCAATGTCTTACTTTCTTGTTAAAATTTCACTGTTGATTTCTAAGTATTTTGTTAAACTTTATAGAACTATTCAGAACTAAACGTTGCCAGCGTTGACATTATTAATTGACATTATTTCAACTACATTTCAACATTTAGGCTATTCACAGGTAAAGATCAAGGTTGAATTGTTTCAATTTTGTTTCAATTTAATTTCAGTGTTGATTTTGTTTACCTTTTTACAACCATTTAGCCCTCATTTTTATTTTTTAACGTTGAAACAACAACTTACATTATTTCAACCGCATTTCAAAATGTATTCACGGGAATCAAGGATGAATTGTTGTAGAATTTTGTTCAGTTTTGCAAATCAAATCAGTGTTGATACATTGTTTCAACATTTTACTTTTTGTACAAAACTTCTTAAAATTTAAATATTGATTAAGACTTGTGTTCATATTTTTAAGCATTAAACACTAAACTTTTTTCCACCGTTCAACGTTTATTTACAAGCAAATCAATTTCACGGATGTAGAAGATATTAGTTTTACAATCAAATCAACATTGATATTGCAACATTATTTCAACCTCTTCTCGCACAGATCTCAATAAAATATTGCATTTTGTACGTTTTCACAACCATTTATCACTAAATATTTTTCCAATGTTGAAACAACACATTTCAACGTTTATTCCCAGTTGAAGCAATGTCATGGATCAAGGTTGAATCATAGTGAAATTTTGTTTTGATTTTGCTAATACCGTCTGAGGTGTCAAAATGAACGAATGAGACGAGGCCGAATCTGAACCTGCTCAACGCTCGGGTTCCTCAAGTACAAATCCCATTCAGGTCCTTCACCGTGACACGTTTGTAGCAATAACAGATAAAACGTCCTAAACAGACCTAAACGAGCCCTACACGTGATTCAAGCTGGCATTTCAATGCTTAAAGGCTTAGTTCACCCAAAAATGAAAATGAGCCCATGATTTACTCACCCTCAAGTCATCCTAGGTGTATATGACTTTCTTCTTTCAGACGAATCCAGTCGGAGTTATATTAAAAAATGTCTTTGATCTTCCAAGCTTTAGAATGGCACTCAGCAGGTGTTGCAGTGCATCAGTCCAAAAGAAGTGAAATTAAGCGCATACATCCATAGTAAAACATGCCTCACACGGCTCCGGGAGGTGAATGAAGGCCTTCTGTAGCGAATTAATGTGTTCTTGTAAGAAACATATCCATTTTAAAACGTTATAACCACTTTTCTGTAGCTTGCGCTAACTGTCATACGCGGAAGCCGTTCTGGGCGGATGACGTAGGACGTATGCGTAGCGCATGCGCCGGTGAGAATATGCTAGTCTCGCGAAAACCAACGTTTGTTTACAGGAGCAAAGGAAGCAAAGTTTCCTTACTTTAGCAAAGGATCTCTCCTCTCTGCTTCCGCGTTCGTCACTTCTCACCGGCGCCTGCGCTACCCCATACGTCCTACGTCATCCGCCCGGAATGAACGCGCGTAAGACAGTTTCAGGAAGTGACAGAAAAGTGTTTATAAGTTTTTAAATATGTATATTTTTATTACAACAACGCATTAATTCGCTACAGAAGGCCTTCATTCACCTCCCGGAGCCGTGTGAGGCACGTTATACTATGGATGTATGCTCTTAATTTCACTTCTTTTGGACTGATGCACTGCAACACCCGCTGAGTGCCATTCTAAAGCTTGGAAGATCAAAGACATTTTAGACACAACTCTGACTGGATTCGCCTGAAAGAAGAAAGTCATATACACCTAGGATGACTTGAGGGTGAGTAAATCATGGGATAATTTTCATTTTTGGGTGAACTAACCCTTTAAATATAGAATCTTGCTTCAATTTTGCAAATCGAATTGACATTGATCTTGCAAACATAGCTTCAATGTTTTACTTTCCTTAAGATCTTATTAAAATTTCAAGTCTGAATTTTAAGTACTTTGGTAACGTTTTTGCATTAAACGTCATTGTTTTTCAACATTCAGACATTATTTCAAACACATTTCAATGTTTATTCAACGTCATGGATCAAGGTCGAATCAGTGTTGACTTTTGTTTCAATTTTGCAAATCAACAATGTTTCAGTGTTTTTTAACTGTTGAAAAAAATTTAAATGTTGATTTCTAAGTATTTTGTTAACCTTTCTACAACCATTTAACACTAAACATTTTTTTCAATGTTGAAACAACTGACAATATTTCAACCACGTTTCAACGTTTACTCAATGTCATGGATCAAGGTTGAATTGGTGCTGAATTTTGTTTCAGTTTTGCAAATCAAATCAACATTGTTTCAACGTGTTACTTTCCTTAAGATCTTATTAAAATTTCCAGTCTGAATTCTAAGTACTTTGGTAACGTTTTTGCATTAAACGTTATTGATTTTCAACACTGAAACAACAACAGGCAATATTTCAATCACATTTCAACGTTTACTCAACGTCAAGGATCAAGGTTGAATTGTTGCTGAATTTTGTTTCAGTTTTGCAAATCAAATGAACATTGTTTTAATTTTCCTATAGATTTCAATGTTGAATTCTAAGTACTTTGAAAAACAATGGCGTTTAATGCAAAAATGCTACCAATGTTAAAACAACAACTGCCATTACATTTCAATTTTTATTCACAGGTGAATCTGTGCTGATATCTAAGTATTCTGTTAACCTTTTTACAATCATTTAGCCCTTATTTTAATTTTTAACGTTGAAACAACTGACATTATTTAAAACACTTTTCAACATTTATTCACGGGTGAATCTACGTCACTGACCAAGGTCGAATCAGTGTAGAATTTTGTTTCAGTTTTGCAAATCAACATTGATATTGCAACGTTGTTTAAAGGTTTTACCTTTTCTACAAATCTTGTTAAAATTTCAATGTTGAATTCTATATATTTTGGTAAAGTTTTTCCATTAAATCAACATTATGGATCGAGTTTGAATCACTTGAATGTTTTTTTTAATTTACTTTCATTGTTGATTTCTAAGTATTCTGTTAAGCTTTTTACAACCTTTTTGCATTAAATGCCATTGTTGTTCAACGTTGAGACATTGTTTCAACCACATTTCAATGTTACTTGGGTTAATTAATGTCATGGATCAAGGCTGAACCGGCATAGAATTTGGTTCAGTTTTGCAAATCCAATCAATGTTGATGTCGCAATGCTGTTTCATTGTTTTACTTTTTTGCACAGTTCTTTTTAAAATTTCATTCTTTGTTTATATTTTTTAGAACCTTTTTTTCATTAAATAACACTGTTTTTCAATGTTGAAACAACAGCTGACATTATTCCAATGTTTATTTACAGGCAAATCAAAGTCATGGCTCAAAAGGTTGAGTCAACATTGATCTTGCAACATTGTTTCAATGTTCTATATTTCGTACATATATTTTTAAAAATTCAATGTTGAATTGAAGTTTTTAGGTAATCTTTTTACAACCTTTTTGTTTTTAAATGTTGAATCAACAAATTACATTATTTAAAACACAAGTCACTGCTTATTAATGTGTTTATCAATGTCATAGATCAAAGTCAAATCAGTGTTGAATTTAATTTCAACTTGGTATCACAACATTATTTCAACATTTTACTTCTCCGACAGATCTTGTTAAAATTCCAGTGTTGGTTTATAAGTATTTTGTTCACCTTTTTACAACCGTTTAGCACTAAATGTTTTTTCAACGTTAAAACAACAACCAACATTATTTCAACCACATTTCAATGTGTATTCAAGGGTTAATCAACGTTTTGCAAATCAAATCAATGTTGATGTTGAATGTTTTAATGTCTTTTCGTACAGATCTTGAAATTAAAATTTCAAATTTTTTCACAACCATGTAGCTTTTAACTTTTTTTTTTTTAATGCTAAAACAACTTAGATTATTTTGACCACATTTCAAAGTTTATTCACGTCATTGATCAAGGTTGGATATCGTTAATCAAATCAACGTTGATATCCCAACGTTGTTTCAACATTTTACTGTTTGTAAAGACCTTATTAAAATTTCTGTGTTGATTTCTAAGTATTTTGTTAACCTTTGTACAACCTGATGAAATAACAACTTATATTATTTCAACCACATTTCAACGTTTATTCAAACAAACTTCAACGTTGAAGGTCGTCGCATGATGTCAAGGATGAGATTGGCTTCAGTGGGTGCCTAAAACCTTCATTTGTTTAAAAAAAACAAGACCGAATGAACGCATTATAACTAGATAGCTATCTACTTAAAGTCAGTTAAAGGAATAGTTCACCCCATTCTGCCATCATTTACTCACCCTCATGCCATTCCAAACCTGAATGACTTCTGTGCAACACAAAGAAAGATCTTTTGAAAAATGTTTTTTGTCCATACAATGAAAGTCAATGGGGTCCAAAGCTGTTTGGTTCCCAACATTCATTAAAGGGGTCATATGATGCGATTTCAAGTTTTCCTTTCTCTTTGGAGTGTTACAAGCTCTTGGTGCATAAAGAAGATCTGTAAAGTTGCAAAGACTAATCTGTCACGCGACTGTTGCCCTTTCGGGCTTGAACTGATGGTAAAACAAACGATATTATTAACTGTCTTGATATTTACTTTGAAAGTTGACGCTCGCGATTATGGTAAGGGGCGTTACATTTCCGACGCGTGCTTGTGGTGTTCGGCCAATCACAGGGGCATAGAGGACCTACAATAATGTACAGTATTTGAAAAATAATGTGTTTTTTTAACATTAAAGCATGTCAACATATTCTGTAACACCAAATACACAAAATAATGATCTTTGAAAAAAATAGCATCATATGACCCCTTTAAAATATCTTGTTTTGTGTTCCACAGAAGACAGAAACGACACGAGGCTGAGCAAATGATAACTGAATGATAATTTTCAGGTGAACTATCCCTTTAAGACAACAGAAGTGCTTTAATGGGACTACTAGTTCAGTAATTCCCTTGTTAGTACGCATCCTCGTGTCTTTCGAATGGATGAATGGGAAATATACTTCCTGAACCCAAGATCTCATTTAATATAGTGATTTGGAGCCATTTTTAAAGTTTAATAAATGTGATCGTTATAAAAACAGACTCTGACATGTGCACAATTGATTTTGTAATGACAAAGTGTGTTTTAAACGCTATCGTGAGCATAAAGAGCGCATCTGAAGACACTGATGGAAATGACCATGGGTCGCTTTTTTCGTTCGTGCCACACTGTCACTCCCCCCTCATCCGGTCCACATTATCTGTCCATGCACATGAGAGGTCATAGACATACGTGACGTCACACGCACGACACGGAATGCGGATGGGATGGGGTGAAGCCTCGGCTCGGGGAGGAATAAACCCTCAAGTCTCACACAGAAGAGAAAAGCAGGCAGGTATGAATGTGAGGAAGCGTCAGATCTACTTCCTGTCTGTCTCTCGTCAACACAAACAAGCTATTCTCAGGACACCGTCATGTGTGGAACAGAAACAGAGGTTTTCTCACCTAAGATTGCGGTCGGCACGAAGGGATCTGCTCACGGCCGAGAGACATGCAGAGGTTTACAGAGAAGAGAAAAGCGGGTCAGTCCACACTGATCCAGATCAAGTCAGTACTGCATTAGACAGGAAGGTTAAACAGGTGACCATACAGACATAACTGGCTACACACAGACCCCCCCCCCCCAGGCTTTGG